GTTTGTGTTTTTGTTAGTTTGTTGTTTGTTTTTTGTTGTACGTTATGTTAAAAAATAATAAAAAATACTTTGATCAAAATAAAAATTGAACAATAGGATTGTGGGGGGGAAACATGGAAGTGCGGACAACAAAAACAGACAAAATCTTGTGTGACTTTGAATGAGTGGGTGTGAAGATGAGGGTGGTATTTTGTGATTGTGTTTGTGTATGATTGTGTATGACTTCCTGCGATGTTGCCCCTGAGGGCTTAGGGTCACTCTCGGGGTCTTTGGCTCTGGTCTCCCTTGTGTCTGCTTCAGGTCTCAAGGTTCAGGTCTGTGGGTCTCCACATTCACTATTAAATATTCCATTGGAAAATCTTGTATAGACATGCATACTCACAACCGCACACAACCACAAACTGGTGTTCAGCTTCTGGGGTTTCTGACGGTCATTGAATGTGTATATATGTAGTATATATGTAAGAATTTATATTCAGTTCTTTTTTCTACTGAAGTGGCTATTAAAAAATACATCCTCGCAATTCTGTTTTTTTCAGACATTTTTTATTAACTTGAATTTACAGTAACTGACTATACAGCCACTGAGAGTAAATTTCATGATGTTGATCAGAGAACGTTATAGCCAAATTGAAGAATTTCTTCCATTATGTCCCTATGTCTTACAGAGTAATGCAACTGAAAGCAGCAACTTAGATACTTTTTTATAATATTACAACTTTAATACAAACTTCACCAGATAAACTTGCTCCTCTAAAAAAGGAAGGGATTATTCAGAGGAAGCAATCGGTTGGCTTCCTTAGATTGATAACAGTTACTTAATTGGCTTTTATAATGTATGTGAATGCTTTTGTACAGTGCCCTAAGATAAATTTCATTTTAACTTGGCACTTTATAAATGTGCTGAATTGAATTGGTAATAGCAAATAGTCTCACGTGGGTTCAGTCTAATAACTTTCACAAAATCAATGAAATAAAATAACAACACAGATTTATTGCATTTAAAATGAAAATGATTCAAGATATCATGTTTCAAAAGCCTGAATCAGGAAGTGGTTAAATGTTTGCCTACAGTAAGGATAGCTTTTAAAAAGCAACATTTTTACCAAACATTTAATCAGGCGCAAACGTTTGGCTTGATGGGAATATTATAACTGATCAAGAGCAGCACATAGTGGAACATCAAAACGTGTTTTTCTGCTCCATCTTTTTTTATTTTCTTTCACTGCTATATGTACTCCATTGTTTTCCTTCCAGGAAAAACAGGGTCACTCAGTGAAAAGTGACTTGCTCAGGCGTGGAGGAGATTAGGTATCATCTACAATGCTTCTCATTTCACTGCGCGTTGGCAGTGTGAAGGATTATTTCATATTACACTTCACATTTTGTCAGCGCGCAGCAGCAACGATGTGACCTCAGCTCAAGTACCCAGACACACAGGAATTAGATGGATTAGGCCCTGCAGATTTTCCCAAATGAGTAACACGATCACAGTGGAAGGATTTTGCAGAATTTGCATTGGATGCAAATGTGAAATTGTTATTTTTGAAAGCAGGTATATAAAAACAAAGGTCCTATTTTGACAAATGCAATGTTTAAATGTGTTTGAATAAATTAATGTCCTATTTAGTCTTCGCAAGCGTCTATGTGTTTATGCTTGACAACAAAAGACTTTTGAATGTTTGCTTTTCCAAAAAGTAAAGTCTTTCGTTTGAAAAAAAAGTCTGTCAGTTATTATGGATAACAAGACAGCATCATCTACATAAAGACAAATCCTGTCATATTTTTCCTTTTCTACCCGTCAGAATCCCCCCGTCATCCTCTCAAATCCCAAATGGCATTGATAGAGACAGAAGGAAATCTGAAAGTCAACCACTAATTACAGAATGGGCCTCTGCTGAGAGGCTTGTTCACCAAAAGAAAAGAGAGAGAGAGAGAGAGATAGAGAGGGAGAGAGAGAGAGAGAGAGAGAGAGAGAGAGAGAGAGAGAGAGAGAGAGAGAGAGAGAGAGATGTGTTAAGAGGTTGCTGGCAGCCCATACTCAGTGTCATTACTCCAACCCGGTTCTTGAGCTGAGTTCAGACATGATGTATTCTGCTGGGACATGAAGCAGGCTGCTGCTGCATTTTATTTTTTTACTGACCATCACACTGATAAGGCAGCAGAAAAGCCTCAGCCGCTAATGCTTTTTCCATTTTATTTTCTGACTTCATGTCAGCCTGCTCTTGGAAGGAATAAAATGACTCAGGCAGTAGCACTTATATTATGGCACCTTTGCTTTCAAGATGTTTTTTTATGACAACTGCAGAAATGGATATTAATTATGCATGAATAATTAACAAAAGAATAATGATCCATTTGCCCTTTTTTTTCA